AGATTCAGTCTTGAATAAAACCAACGGTACTGGAAATCAAAAGAAAAAAAAATGCCTAAAAGCAAACTTATCTGCTCAGTAAAGTGCTCGAAGCTCACATTGCCTGGACCAAACAAAAACCACTTACCAACATTAACTCCTATGAAAGGATGGCTCTAGCCGTAATTGAACTTTCACGTTCATGTGATATAATGATTACATGTTACACGTTCAATGTTAAAACACTGGCAGTACTATAGCAGAAAATAATTTGTAATACATTTCTAAATTTTTTATACATTTTGTATTTGTGTGTAATCATTAATGGGAATGAAGTTTTTGATGTGAAGCGACGATTAAGATTTTACAAAATGGAAAATCTTAAAAGTCAATCCACAAATTATATAAAGAATTTAAAGTATGTTTTACTGTACTCTCTCTCTCATATATATATATATATATATATATATATATATATATATATAGAAAATGGTAAGTATTTCTTTTTTTTTAGTTATGATTCCAAGCTAATAGATTAAATTTAATATTTCCAATAAGCAAGATATTTTGCTGTATTTTAAACCGAATTTAAATTATTTTTCTATCAGTAAAATTGCTGAAATCGTTCATACTGACAAATCTTTCAACACAACATAATTCTCTTTTAGTAAAAAATCTTTCAAAAATAAAATATACTTTTTAGAAACTTTATTTGAGGAAGATTAACTGATTAGAGTTTAATTAATCTGAATTAAGACAGGTATTACTTTTAGTTTAAAATATCGCATGAAGGCATTGTTTTTAATACGCAGGTGGCTGTTTTTAGAGGTATTGACACACTTATCGATAATATGATGTTTCCAAGATTGTTGTAAAGAGGAAATAACTTTAGTAAAATGACATGAAATTTTGATTTTACGTCGGTTTGTGTACGTATTCCAATCAACATCACTAACTTGAACAACATTCATCAAATAATGAGCCGGGCATTAAAAATAGTATCGCCACTTCAACTTCATTGCAACCCCGAAATACCTCATGATAACACCAGCTTTTGTAGGTTCTTCAGTCATGGCACCAAATCCATGTAGATGCAATTTTGAAACCATGTCATATTTTTCCAATTTTATGATATCGAACAAAGTGACTTTGATATTTTCTTTCAATAATTAATTTCTTTGTTATTCAGTCATGATCTATGGTGTTTTTTCATGCCTCTTCATATCATTTTGAGCTTACCTTAATGAACACATTCAACATTTTCATCAAATTAACAACCATTTATAATTTTGGGATCAACTCTACCGAATCAAAAGAGAAGGAGGCTTATATATACGACCAGAAATTTTTAGAACATGAACTTTACTTATTAAAAAACGTTTGACACATCAGCTTTGCAGTAGGGAGCGCTTTGTCTTGAGCAATTCTCTATTATAAATTCTTAAACGAATTGATCTGATCAATTCCATTGAGTTTGTTTTTCTTGAAGAAAAATATTTGTCGCTTTTCATTCTGTGTCAGTATGCATTATCATCGGTAAAAATGACTTCATCGTCACCAAACTTCTTTTTCTCTTGATAGAACGAGAAAAGTGTTCAAAATCTCATAAATGAGTGGATAAATTTGCTTTGTTCTCGGCAGTGGTATTTCTCTCATTGGAACTGCACTAGACAAAAGTTTCAGCATCATTGCCTTGAGCAGTACAGATTTGTGAGACTTTCATTCAATCATCCACATTCCTTGATGACTTCTCTGTAACCCATTGTAACATCCATTAATTTTATTTGTTTGGTTTTTCTGTATTTAAATTCAGTTTCATTCAACCATTTTTTTTTATATTTTTTTTTTTTTTTTACAGTTTCTGTTTTCAAGAAAAATTATTTTCAATACTTTGATTTTTCTCTCTTGACGCTTTGGACATCTCCTGACGTCTGTGATGTACCTAAAAGGGATTTGAACATCTCCCGACGTCTGTGATGTACCTAAGAGGGATTTGAACATCTCCCGACGTCTGTGATGTACCTAAGAGGGATTTGAACATCTCCCGACGTCTGTGATGTACCTAAAAGGGATTTGAACATCTCCTGACGTCTGTGATGTACCTAAAAGGGATTTGAACATCTCCTGACGTCTGTGATGTACCTAAAAGGGATTTGAACATCTCCGACGTCTGTGATGTACCTAAAAAGGATTTGAACATCTCCCGACGTCTGTGATGTACCTAAAGGGATTTGAACATCTACCGACGTCTGTGATGTACCTAAAAGGGATTTGAACATCTCCCGACGTCTGTGATGTACCTAAGAGGGATTTGAACATCTCCCGACGTCTGTGATGTACCTAAGAGGGATTTGAACACCTCCCGACGTCTGTGATGTACCTAAAAGGGATTTGAACATCTCCTGACGTCTGTGATGTACCTAAAAGGGATTTGAACATCTCCTGACGTCTGTGATGTACCTAAAAGGATATGGTCAGGGAATCCTGTGAGATATATGAATGCCAAAAAGTATATAGTGAAGGCATCTCCTGATGCGTGTACTATGCCAAAAAGTGTATAGTTAAGACATCTCCTGATGTCTGTAGCAACTAAACGAGTTTTATTTCGACTCAAACGTACTTGTTTGAGGCATGAAACTTGACTTTGTGTCGCATTTTGCTTCCCAAGGAAAGAACAATTGAACTTTGGTATTCAACAATCCATTTCAGTCAGCACTTCTCAATTTCAGCAAGAAGAATAGAGGTACATCCTGATGTATGCAGCAATAAACAAGGGAATGTAACAATTTTAAGTTGATCCTCCACCAGACCTTGAGTCATGTGCTTAGTGCCAGGTACTAAAAAGAAGATTTTCTATTCTGTTTCTTCTTGTCAATTGACAAATATCGTAAACTTAAGTTAGATCTAGATACAATCTTTTTCCTTGTAGTTGGTAAATCCAAAATGGCTGTGCTAAAAGACGAACTATGGTGAAGTAAAAGCCATTATGGAGAAAGATGCCGGACAGTTGTAATTAAATGAAATGGCTGCTTGAATCATATGCTGGGAGAGAAGAAAGGAAGGATTTGTTGTGTGTCGTGATGCCGGTGAGGTGGAAGTGGAGGTGAAATTAGACAGGATGCACTCACTCACATCGCAGCTACACCTCTTCCCATCATGCTATATCTTCCTTCTACCTCTTCCTCCTCATTCTTTTCTCTCTATCTACTTCATCAATACACTTTTCTTCCCTCACAAATAATATTTCTATATATTTTTGGCAAGATTTTGTTCCAATGAAGTTCAGTTGAGTTATTTTTTTTTTCATTGTTTTGACTGGAACCTGCCAAAACTGTTAGCAAAATGATGTTGCTACAATATTTCTTCAATGTTACATAGAAGTTACAAAAACTATTTTTGGAATTCCCCATAACAACGTGCCCACAACCCGCAACATTACCTTAACAGAAAATGGATAATAAATTCAAAGATGATAGTGCATTCAACATCTAATTTAGTTATTTGCACAAAAAAAAGCAAAAACGGAAAGACATTTTATACGTTCTATACATATTGTTAAGATATAATATTGTAATGTTAAATCCCCAGTTCGGATTTTTTCGGTTACATCACTTTACAAAGTTACCCTAACGTTGAGGTTGAGCTATTAGTTTGGAGTCAAGAAATGATTGCACGTTACAGTAACATCACCACAATTTCATATGTCCCCTAACCAAAATACAACGTCTAACACTGCAAGAACTTTCCCCTGTTAACCAAAAAGGTTGGCTATATACTCTGTTTAACGGTATTTTGCTGCTATTATATAGATTGTTTTGGTTATATATTTGTCCAAATGTTCACACCCTGTCAATCGGCATGACAGGAATAGATAGGTTCATCTATTATCCGATTTATACTTCTTCCAGGTCCTTTTGAACAGGAGTTAAGGTGTATCCCTTATTTCCTGTTTAGGATTGGATCTCTAGTTACTTCTAAAGCCTTTTCTTTCACTTTTGGTGGTTAATTGCGTCGTGGTGACATTATCTCCTTGTTTGGGGGCTGTACCTGTAACTCTTTAATCCTCTAACTCGAGTGGCTCTCGAGCCTTGTACAGGATGAACATCATTGTAAAAAACGATTGACATGCTTATGAAGCGATATTGGAAATAGGATGGTGCATAGGTAGGATGGTTTTATGCCTATACTTATGACATTAGCAGGAATTTTTACAGTTCACAAATCTAAATTCCAAATACACAAAATTCTTTTACTCCATTTTTCGTGGTTTCCTTTCCTGTATATTTGGACCTTCAATATTGTTGGTGATGTTCCCTGCCATTTCTTCTGTTTCCAAAATGTCTCCATCCCTTTTGGATGATGCTCACCGTGTCTCGTCTTACCCTTCACATGCATTTTCCTTGCCTCTACCTCACTTAGCGTAGTACAGCACAAGCGTAAATGGGGAGGGGTGCAGTTTGGAAGATTGTTTTGCCAATCTTACAAATGAATCTGCTTTGAAAATTGACGTTTGTATCTGAACTTGAATCTCGATCTCTGAAATGGGTAACAAATACATAAACTATTTCAAATATTCATTTCAAAGACACGGATATTTACGAAGTTTAATCTTGAGAAGACTCGGGAAGTCTGACACTCCCATAATATATTGAAGGCAAAGGAGGCACAAAGATTGATCGATTTATTTTTTACGGCTTATCAACTCTTATCAAAAAACTGAAATATATTTCGGATTGTAACTTCGGTGATCGAACAAGAACCTGTGTTTTCAGTATGATTTGAACCTAAGTGATGCGGGGGGGGAGCAGCAAGTAACCCACCCAACGAGCTTGTGTAAATGGATGACAGAACAGGGAGAGTGGGAGGGATAGTAAAAAGACAAATATTGCTAAGATATACAAAAGATAGAAAGTTGTGGAGAGCCATGATTGCTCACATCCTGACGAGACACTGCAGATAAAAGAATCTTGCACAAAGTATGTGGTATCCAACGAAGATTGAACTCACGAAACAATAGAGTAATGGTCTGCAAAAAAAATGTCTTAAACATTATCCCGTGTCTCGCTTTGTACTCCACACTACTCTTTCCTCTCTCCCCTTGTCTTCTTTCCTCTCTCTCCCCTTGTCTTCTTTCCTCTCTCTCCCCTTGTCTTCTTTCCTCTCTCCCCGTCCACTTCTTTCGCTTTCTCTTTCGCGCTCTCTCTAGTTCTCTCTCTCTCTCTCTAGTTCTCTCTCTCTGCCTCCAACCTCTTTCTCTCTTGTCTATTTTAAATTAATTCTGCTAAATCTATCATGCAACCATCGTCTTCATAGAAAATTTAGTGGGTCATGTTGTCAGTCAGACATTCTCTAGAATCGTCATTCCCACCACCATGAGTGCTACATCCAAACGAGACTTTTCCTCCTCTTGACAAAAATGTCTCTGTTTCAAGGCCAAATAACCAAGAACCCCAAGACTCTAAGAGAATTAGGGAGAAAATAGCCCCACTGATTTCTCCCCCCTATAACAACTTGCTTTTTTTCCTAAGCTTGTTTTGAGAGATTAAAAAATTTACAATTAAAAAGACGACTGACTGTGAAAAATTCTAACCTTTATCCGGATATGACCTCTCATTCGTTTTTTATTTCCCTCTCTTAACCTTGTTCATCCGTTCTGTATTGAAAAGAAAAATATTCTATCAAATGTTTATTTCCTGATTTGCTAAATGACTCACTGGTGTCCTACAATTGGTAACTTTTTTTTTTTTCATTTAAGGATGTATGGAAATAAAAACTTTGACTCAATGTTTATTTTTGTCTACGGAAAAAAAAATTTAAAAAGAAAAGATAATCCGAAATAAATATATTTTGGTGGGGATCAGGCTTCCTTTATGTCAGTTTTATGGTAAAATTAACATTTGAAAAGAATCTCCTTTTTGGATTTTCGTTTGAAATCTTTCACATTTCTAAAAGAAAATGCAGACTTATTTTACTTCGTATTTTTAGAGTCAGTCTAACTAAAATAATTTTAGGATTTTCACGCAATGTTATGAAAAAATTAAAGCAAATTGCCTCAATACTGAACGCGATAATAATTCATTGACCCTTTTTCAAATAATTCTTTTCAACCTGTTTAAATTGGACACACAAATCCTAAAAATACTTTTCCAATTTCAGTCGAGAATTACAGCCTCGTATTTGTATTTGCTCGCTTTCATCCCTAAAGCTAGAATACTGTTTATGTGTGTGTGTGTGTGTGTGTGTGTGCGTATAAAAATCCAATATAAAAAAAATATATATATCTATAAAAAAAAGACTCTGAATAAAGCAAAGAAATACTCCTTTCCCCATGTCAACATACACTACCTACAAAAAGTTTGGGGACTGCTTGCATTTTCTTTTTCTTTTTTTACAAAATAAAAGAACACCTGAAAATGAAATACTTTTTTTTATCTTTTGAAAGTAAAAATAAAATTTCAGTAACTACAGTGTATTTGCCTTTTTTTTCTTTTTTTTTTTTTTACAAAACATAAGCATTTATGAAGAAATTATCATATAACAGCATTATATTTTGTTTTTGTCAACAAAACCACCACTTGCCTTAATTACTACTTTACAAATTCTTAGAATTCTTTCCAACAAACAAAAAAAAAAGATGATGGCAGCCCTTCCCAAGCATTCTTCAAGCATTGAAAAAATCTCACTCTCACTCTTCGAACTCTCTCTCTCTCTCTCTCTCTCTAAGATTACTTTGCCAAATTTAGTATTTTTTTAAATTTTTTTTTTTCGGCGCAAAACACACTGATTTAATTTTAAACATTCTTGCAAAAATCAGACAATTGTCGGATTTTAATGAAACTTTCAGGACTTATTCACAAATAAGTGAAATTATTTTAGAAATGTTTCATTTTTAGAAAATCCTTCTTATTTTATTTTATTATTATTTTCATTATTTTTTTACATCTGCTAACCCCCAACTTAATTTTTATGAAATTTCGTGAAATTCTTTTTTGATGGCGCTTATATTAGTTATAAGGACAAGTCCTCGGAGAATTTAAATCATCAAAATTTGGGGGTCAAATAGGACTCTCAGTTACCGTAAATTTACTCTGAATCGTAAAATAAGAATGCAATAAAAAAACCAAGACATTATTTAATTAGAAAAGCTTTTAAATAGCTTTTATGGACACTATCGTTTTAAGAAGAAATGTTTCTGAATAATTCATTTTTATAAGAATTGTTTTCATTTTTTTTTAATTTCAATTAGAATATTTATATTGAATTTATAAATAAATAAATAAATTGATATTTATAATGATATTGTTTTTCAATTAAGACTATTTTCTAGCCATAAATGGAAACGCTTACGACAATGCAACGACCCCCTCTCCACAATATTTTTAAAAGAATTTTGAATTTAATTTTTTCATGTCTGTATAAACGTGTCGATTTTTGTAAATACAGACGTCCAAAAGTTAACATTTATTTGGTAATTTTCTAACATTTCCTCAAGAAGCGTCTTCGTAAGTTAGAAAGCCAAAGTTCAAAGGACATACAATATAAAATACTAGATTGCTTAGAATATTTTCTTACATTTTTAAGATTACTTGATGAATGGAGATATATATATACACACACACACATATACGCACACGTACATATATATATATATATATATATATATATACACACACACACACACACACACACACACACACACATACAAACATGATGGGGAGAGAAATAAAGGCGTACACGTTATATTTGTCAAGTAATTGTTATACCCCCTTTAGAAGAAATTCCCAAATATGTCTATAGTGCGAAAGTTGTCAACATCTCAAAAGTACCCACTTTTGTATTAAAAAAAATGATTTTCTGCAATATTTTAAACTCAAAGTAAGTAAAATTTGTTTCAAATCAGATTAATTAAACTTTAAATCAGCTACTCTTCCGCAAATAAACTTTCAAAGTTTATCACAAATACAGATGTGGAAAAATAAATAAAATATATACTATCCCAAAGATTCATTTCTGTCTGGGATAAAAAAATTAAAAACATTTTAATTACCACATCTAACTTTATATAAAAAAACAAAAAAAAAAAAACACCAATTGGCGATATATAAATTAAGGTGGCGACAGATAACCCACAAGAAACCCATTTTTCCTTTTTTTTTAAAGGCGTTTCAAACCTTGTGTCGCTTTTCTTTGAAGGTACCTACAAATAAAATATTTTTATTCTTGTATTATCCCAAAAAAGTGGTTGACAAAATGTTTTTTGTGTGTTATCGTTACTATTAAATAAGAAGAGAAGAATTTCTTCCATTTCAAAAATTCTACGTTTTATTCGGAAATGGCTGAAATTGTTATCACTGATCCTAAAAGTGCTGCTAGCGGGCAGTGGGAGTTTCAGGATGCACGCATTCTTGCTCTAAAATGTAACAGGATGCTCCCAAAATACTTTTGCTTTTTAGTCCCAAATCAAAAATGATTTTATGAATGAGTTAACTGCTCGTAACGTCCTGAAAAAGAATAAGTGTGTGTGTGTGTGTGTGTGTGTGTGTGTGTGTGTGTGTGTTCTCTGAACAGTTCCTTTCAGAGTTAATCTCTCTCTAATCTAATGTTACAAAATAATTGGAAACAATTACTCGTTTTATTACTGCTACGATTGTTGCTGTTGATACGAAAACAACGACCAAGATTCTTTTTCTTGGAAAAGCGAAAAACGTGCTTGTAAATAATCAGCATCTAATTGACAAAGACGCAACATTATCATTGATTTTATTTTATTTTTATTTTTTTTTGGCTAATATTTCGATATATTATTCACATCATCTCCAGAACATTAAGAAACGTCATTAGTTTGAGTTTATAAGAATTTATTTGTTTATTCATCTGTCTTCTTTTTCTATTTTTTATTTTTTTTCTTCTTTTTTCTTCTCCTTTTTCGTCTTTTTTCTTCTCATTTTTTCTTCTTTTTTGTCTTTTCGTCTTTTCTCTTTTTTCGTCTTTTTTTCTTTTTCGTCATTTTTATTCTCCTTTTTCTTCTTTTTTTTCTTCTCCTTTTTCTTTTTTTCTTCTCCATTTTCGTCTTTTTTTCTTCTTCTTTTTCGTCTTTTTCTCCTTCTTTTTCGTCTTTTTCTCCTTCTTTTTCGTCTTTTTTCTCCTTCTTTTTCGTCTTTTTTTCTTCTTTTTCGTCTTTTATTTTCATTTCCTTTTCGTCTTTTATTTTCATTTCCCTTTCGTCTTATTTTCATTTCCTTTTTCGTCTTTTTTTTCATTTCCTTTTTCGTCTTTTTTTTTCATTTCCTTTTTCGTCTTTTTTTCTTCATTTCCTCTTTCGTCTTTTTTTTCTTCATTTCCTCTTTCGTCTTTTTTTTTCTTCATTTCGTCCTTTTTTTTCATTTACTTTTTCGTCTTTTTTTTCATTTCCTTTTTCGTCTTTTCTTTTTTTCATTTCCTTTTTCGTCTTTTCTTTTTTTCATTTCCTTTTTCGTCTTTTTCTTTTTTTCATTTCCTTTTTCGTCTTTTTCTTTTTTTCATTTCCTTTTTCGTCTTTTTCTTTTTTTCATTTCCTTTTTTGTCTTTTTCTTTTTTTCATTTCCTTTTTTGTCTTTTTCTTTTTTTCTTTTTCCTTTTTCGTCTTTTTCTTTTTTTCTTTTTCCTTTTTCGTCTTTTTTTTTTCTTTTTCCTTTTTCGTCTTTTTTTTTTCTTTTTCCCTTTTTCGTCTTTTTTTTTCTTTTTCCCTTTTTCGTCTTTTTTTTCTTTTTCCCTTTTTCCCTTTTTCGTCTTTTTTTTCTTTTTCCCTTTTTCGTCTTTTTTTTCTTTTTCCCTTTTTCGTCTTTTTTTTCTTTTTCCTTTTTTCTCCCTTCCTTGTTCGTCTTTTTACTTCTTCTCCTTTTTCGTCTTTTTACTTCTTCTCCTTTTTCGTCTTTTTACTTCCTCTTCTTTTTCGTCTTTTTTTAATTTCCTCTTCTTTTTCTTCTCTTTTCTCTTCCTCTCTTTTTTCTTTTTTCCTTTCTTTTTTCTTCTTTTTTTTCGTCTCCTTTCTTTTTTCCTATTCTTTTCTACTTTTTTCTTCTCTTTCTCTTCCCCTTTTTCTCTCTTTTCCCTTTTCTGCACTCGATAAGTTTTCACACCAGTTACAGTAATAAATGGCTTACACAGAATATTGACTAAGTGCAGTTCTTCTCAGTTCCGCAGTACTCTCTTCAGTACTGGAACTACCTTCTATATTTTCAGTCTTGTGGATCAGTGCTACTCAAAGTGGTGGTCCGCGGACCGGTGCCGGTACGCGATCCATCAGCTACCGATGCATCATCCAGATACTTAGCCATTTTTTCTCTTTGATTTGATTTTACTAATTTACTTTGTAGTTATCCGAAACAGCGAGACCCACTGATATTTTCTTTTTGTTCATTTTTTTTCTCTTTTCCTTTCAATTCAGGAAAGGCATTTGAGAAATTCTCAGCCCACATCAAGAACTAATTTTCCAGCACCTCCTCATAGAAATGCATTGACAATTTATTTCTATGCCGTTGCTGTAACCTGGAATGTAATTGATTGGACTTATTAACCAACCCACCAAACTTATGATTAATTAAAATAAATAAATACACACATGAGGTGTTGAAATGTTATCGGACAAACCCACTTTCTAAAATTTAACTTAATAACCAAACGTCATTTTTTTTAATCTCTTCGTGGTTTAACTGAGAACTTTTCAGCAAATACTAAAATCCAAGAAATTCATTAAAGTTCTTTTTAAATATTTTTTTACAAATTAGGTATGCTGTTATATCACAGGTAGGTGATACATGAAAATTTTAATTAACTCAAATGATTGTATTGTATCACAAAGTGTGCAGGTGAAACAGTCATATTTTAATTCCATTTGAACCCCCACCCCCGATGAGTGGGTGGGAAAAGTACAAGTTTCTCACTAACTTCACCGGAATTTTAATTCACTTTTGTAATTTTTCTGAAAAACAATGAAGAGAGAACGGTGTCAGCACTAAAATATATTATGCATTGTCATTGGTCAGGAATTAATGCAAACATTACAAGACAGATTAGGGCTATTGCAGATATAAGATATCAATGTATTGCTAATGTTTTTACAATAGAAATAGATTGTCAGTGTTAACAGATTTGTCAAGATGGCTAATTTTAGCAATTTAAAACAAATATTCCAATCAGTTTAAATTCAGCTTGAAATACAGCAAAATATTTTGTTTATAAGAAATATTAAATTTAATTATATTTTAAACGTTTGTATCACTTTTTTGGTGGGTGTGGGTGTGTCTATTGTCCGGTTCACACTTCTCCCAGTCTTTTGTTTCTAGTTTAGGCTTGGTTTCTTCTAAAGTCCTCTCATTCTCTTTCACTCTCCGTAGAACCTGCCTCTTAGTAATATTTATCACCTTCTTTGGAATGAATTGTTTTTTTTGTTTTTTAAAAAAAAAAAAAAAGGAAAAAAGTTATTTGAGTTATATTTTTTATATTTTTACATTGGGTGTACTTAGTGGTTTTTCACTGAGGATCAAGTGACAGCAAGTGTCCTGTTGATTTTTAGGCAGATTTTCAACGTAAATGTCAATCCATACATTTCATTAGCTGAGTTCAGAACCTATTAGAAATCAATATTTTTCAGTTAAAAAAAAATTTAATGATAGATTTTAAAATGGATTTGGATCAGTTAAAGAAATTGTTCGCTTATTGGGATTTTTGTTGAAATTTTTTATTGATATTTTTTATTTTATAAAGCGAGATTGAAAAACGAGCTATCATAGATTGAAGTGGTGGTGGGGAGGGTAAGTTGATGAGAACAGACTGCGGTCCATATGAAGAGAATGATAGGTAAATAGGAACAAAGTGAGATACATGAGAAAGATATTTGACAAGAAGACGATTGCCACTGCTTTATAAAGCTAGCCGAGCTGTAAAGGTCAGCGTACATTGTAATCAGCAGTCGTAGAATGGGAGCGACCAGACCTTGTGCATTCCTCCACTCCGTCTGTCCGTCTCTCTGGGGTTTATTACATTCCGTCAGCCAAGTACCAACTGTGGAAGCGGTCAATACAGGAAACAGGAAAAGAGACTAATCGAAATAAAAGGGAAAACACCCTTTAAAAATAGAACTGTAGGTGGAATGAAAAAAATTCCTTTCCTGATCTCGATCTACAAATGGAACTTTTATGTTTAACGAACCCCAATATTACGTATAAATCTCTTAATTTGTAAAACGTACCGTTATTTGAAGATCAACTGGTCACAATTCACATATAGACACGTATGACACTGACAGAAGTTTATGATTCAAGTGCACACACACACACACGTCGTATCTCCATTTCTCTCTCTCTCTATCTCTCTCTCTCTCATATATCAACGCGCACTGGCAGTTCAGTCCAGAGAGCCCACCACATTGACGGCGGGACCCCACCGTCGTTCACACGCTATCCATTTGGAAACATTTTTATTTATTTATTTATTAAAGTTAACAGTTAGATTTTTACAGTCAGGCTAACGTGGATGGATATTTGTTGGATTTGAACCAAACAGGAAAAATTGGGAATAAAAAAGTTGTTGTATTTGTGTGGTTGAAAATGAAATCTATCTTCAGTCTCGTCACGATGGATTGACATAAAACTAAAAGTTTTGTTTTTGTTTAACTTTAAGCACTAGGATTTAGCTGCAAAAACATTCACTCCTGGCCTTTTATTAAAAAAAAAAGAAAAAGAAAAGGTCTTTATTGGAATTATATATTAAAACTTGATTTCAAGGTAAGGTTGAAAAACTATTACTTCGTTTTAAATATCAAAAAGTGTGTGTGTGTGTTTTTTTTTTTTTTTTTGGAGTGGGGATAGTTAGCTCTGGATTGGGTGTCTGATCGCTAATTTGAATTAAATTCTCGTTTCTGCTTCATTGGAAATGGAAATTAAAAAAAAAAGTATTTTGCATGTTTTTTACCGTATTTAAAATTTGATAAATTCTAATAAATCTATTTTTTTTTTTTTTTTTTTTTAAGATTTATTATAAAAATTTAAATTTATTTTAAATCATTTATTGCTGGGTAGGGAAATCTCATGTTCAATTTCGAAGAATTAAAATTTAAAAAAGCAATTAAAAAATTTTTTTTAAATAAAAATCATGTTTTTAATTTATTATTGTATTGTTAAAAAATCCTTTTACTTTTTCTTTTAAGAAGTTCACATTCGATGAGGTTTACTTTTTAAATGATTCACCTTGATTTTGATTTTTAAAAATAAAAATTAGAATTAAAAAAAAAAAAAAAAAAAAGTATATATTTTTGTGTGTAATAGTCTCTACAACCATATTCCGTAGCACAGGAGTTGTTACTAGCAGGCTAGTCCTGCAGGCAGTTCGATTCTCATACGGTGCCACATATTTATAGCCTTGTGCCAAACTTGAGTAAATGTCTCACTGTTGTGTTAAGCAATGTGGTTAACAAGCTAATAACCCCCACAGCCTATTATTGTAGATGTAGTAAAAATGTGTTGTATGTAGATTGAATTCGATTCTAAGTGTTCTCTAGTTATCGCCTTGTGTCAGATTTCGTAGTATAGCCATATTATTAACAAACTCATCTCGTTATATATCATTACAATCGGCAGTTCGGGTCTAAACTACGTAAATAAATACTAAGTAAATACTAAGTAAATAAATACTAAATAAATACCTACAGTAGCGAAAGAATCAAAGCAAAGATGTCATGCATTTTAATTCGAATCTGATCGTACCAATTTCATTCAAACAAACAAAAAGATTACCTAAAACAACACAATTTCATTTTTGTTTACTAGGGAATAAGTTGTTTTTTTTTTTAAGTTTATTAAATGATAAATAAATCGATTTTATTTTTCATGTTGGAACTTAAAAATATTTTTGGTCGAAATCATCATTTTTTAAAACTTGTCTCGATTCCACTTTTTTTTTCTTTTTTTTTTTTGCAACTAGTCTTACAAAGGACAGGAAGCTGCGGAGAGCTATGATCGTTTACGTTCTGAAAAGACACGACACAGAATAAGTTCTTTTTTTACACAACCCAACAAAATCTCACTTCTTATGGGAGTAGATGCTCCCAGTTTCGTTTGAAAGCCTAAAATTTTTTTATTTTATTGCGATATTTTTTTTAATCTAATTTACTGTTTAAAAATGAAAATGTATTGTAAATAAAATACGAAGTGTTGCTGAAAATTTCTCGGCCTGACCGAAAAGCGCTTAAAAAAAAAAATCTTGTTTTGTCATGCAGTCAGTTTTTTGAAAAGTGAATCGGGTCGATAATTTTTCAGCGCCCTACCTCATTAAAGAAACTGTCTAAACATGTATAATATATTTAATGATAATGACGTTCCCTTCGAGTGTATCCGGGTAAAAATCCCATTTCAACTGTTAATCGACCAATGAACATAAAAAAAAAAGGTTTGACAGCATTTTTCTTGAACTGCTGAACCGCAAACCTAATCAAATATATACGTGTTCTTCTCTTGTTTGGTGGTTAAAGTTCAAAGTTTCTATTATTATTCACTGTGACTAACTAATATTTTATTCAGTGACTAACGTATGGGCGTCTACCATAGCGCAAATGGGTAAATCTCATCTCGCAGACCATGAGTAGTGAGTTTAATTAATTTCAACATTTGTCGTACTAATAAATTTTACATGCAGGCCTTGATATGTCAAGCTGAAACAGGTGGGACCTTCTCCCCTTTGGTAAAAAAAAGAAAGAGAAACAAGGAAGGGGCCAATTGCTGTCTGACTTGTCATTGTAAAGGGCCTTTGAATGATTAACGAGTTTTAGTCTGGCAAGCCTAACTGCTTGTGGGTTTGTTCCTCGTTACTTGCCTCATATGTGTAGCCTTGTGCCAGATGAAACTAAGGAAAGAGTTTTTTTTTTCTTGATGGGTGTGCTTTTTATCTTCGTGTATCGAAAAGAAAACAATGCTCAATGCATAAGTAAATTTTACAACAGAAAATATTTCACCCCCCCCCCGTTTTCTTTCTCTCTCCATCGTTTAGAGAAATTGTGACGTTGTTTTAAAAAATAAATTGGGACTGCCGAATAAACAACCCCATTTAGATAATTCCACTTTGCCTCATTCTGTG